CGATTTCCCTGCACTAATTCTCCATACAGGAGAGCCTTTGGGATCTGACCATCAGCCATTCTCACGACATGCCCAAGCCAACGTAGACGTCGCTGTTTCAGTAATGTATACATGCTGAATGTATACATTGATACATGTTGCTCATGTAACTGGGCTCTAAGCTGGCAACGTTGGTCTGGACCCCAGAAGAGCCAAGTAAGAAGCCCACTGCCAGCCAGTTCCAGGATCACTCTTGTGACCCTTCAGTGCTCCTTTGCTGGGGGAGGAGGAGTGCAATAATAATTCATCCTCAGAAGAGATCACTATTTACTCTGCCCTGCTGTAGCCTGGTACCCTGAGCTCCCAGCTATTTGTTTGTCGAGATTAGGAAGAAACCCAAGATGGAGGTAAACGTAGACCGCTTCCTTTGCTCAGATGAGCATTTTATATGCTCCGAATTGGACACCTGATGCCCTGAGAGGGAATCTCGTATCAGCTCCACGCTTGTCACCTGCCTCTGCTTGTGTGTAGCTTTGAGCAGGCAGCCACCGCCTGCTCAGTGATAACAAAGGGAGGGAGGCCTTGGCTGTGTGCTCCTCTCAGGAGGTCAGTCCCAGTGTCTCTTATTTGCCAGGCCGGCACACAGCCTGTGTGTGTGTGTGCAATTTGGGTGGTGGTGGGGAGGAGGTGTGAGCAGGAGTCCAAGTCATCTGATCCATAAATGATTTATTCTTCTACAATGTACTCTTACAGCATGTCAATGAACAGCCTGACCGAGGTAAAGGAAGAACAGAGGCCTTTGTCTGCCCAGTAGGGAACAAAGGCATGCCTGTGAGCATGTGGGCAACAGTGACCCAGCAGCGATCAGCTGGCTCCTGTTTCCTGCGTTCCAACTGCACAAGGCATCGTCGCCACCAGGCGAAGGGATTTAAGGATTCCAAAGGCTTAACAGGAAGGATGGCTGAGCCATTCCATGGATACCAGCCTCGTTTCATCGTCCACCTCCCTCCTTCCAGCTTCTCTTCATTTGTTCTCCATTTCTTTCCCTCTCCCAGATAATCCAGTTCTTCCTTTATTTGTATCATAGTGTTCGATTAGATTCGATTAGGCATCCTTCAGTCTCAAGAGACTATGGTAACATGCTCTGTATGGAGGACTTGGAACACCATCTAGTGTGGCTGAGAAGGCCAATTCGAGAGTGACAATCCTTTCCACACTGAAGACAAATACAATCTGTCCCCTGTCCAGCTCCCTGATTTTGCTGCTTCTGGGACTGTGCCTCGGCCTCCTGGACAAATGTCTCTTCAAAATAGGAGAGGCCGTGATGCAACGCCTGCCTCCAGGCTGAATGCTCAGATGTCAGGGTTTCCCAACTGTTGAGACCCATTCCCTAAGGCCTTCAGATCCTGCTTGCAGAGATCCTTGTATCGCAGCTATGGTCTCCCTCTGGGGCGATTTCCCAGCACTAATTCTCCATACAGATCTTTTGGAATTCAGTCGTCAGGCATTCTCACGACATGCCCGAGCCAACATAGACGTAGTGTTGCACAATTTAAAATTATGGATATATATGAAATACAGGGAAAATTAAAAAGAAATTGTTAAGATAATTAGCAGACCTAGCAAATGGCCAAGATAAAGCTATTAAAGTAGCCTGCTTTTTACCAGAAGCAGGCTACTTTAATAGCTTTATCTTGGCCATTTGCTAGGTCTGCTTTTTTACGTGGTGAGGTATAAATTGTACGCACTTAAGTGCTGCATTGTATTTCTCCAGTCACAGAAAATTTGTCCCATATCCAAGTAGCCCATTTGACTTGATTATTCTTTCCTCTTCCCACTTCACTTCGAAGTCTGTTAAGTGACTTCCAGATGGTTCAGCCAGAAGTCTTGTCCTACTGGGAAACACTCTTTAGCATCCATCCGTTTGCCAAGGTGTGCCGTTTTTGTTCTCCATAGGTTTAGCTTACGAGACTCTTCTGGTTTAATATTAAGAGCTTGAGCTGATCCTCCTTTACGAGAGATTTTGGGACAAGCTTTTGAAAAAGCTACGGCAGTGGTTCTAAGCCTTTTTTTGAGTCATGCCCTCCTTTTATAATAGCCAAGTAACCTGGGATGCCCCCTGCCACATTTGCATAAAAAGGCATTTTTAATCAGGTAAAGTTGTTCCTTCTCAGAAAGTAGAGGCTTCTTTCTCCCCTGCCTCCCCCCGCCAAAGGGCTTGTTTCTCATACATATGCATACTTTACTCCTTCCCTTTGTCTCACCTTGTACTGCCCCAACTTGCTATTACAACAACAGGACCCTCGGCCCACATGCCCACTCCTCACCTCCAGTGTGTAGGGCGGCCAGATTATGTAGAAATGTCCAGCAGCCAGGTGGCTTTAACCTGTTGCAGCAAAAACCAGCAGAGGGTCTGGGGGTTTCCTTAAGACATAACATGTTGTAGTGGGCATAAGCTGAATCGCTTGCTCTTTGCACTAGATGTAATGCCCCTTGCAACCCCACAAGAGCTAATGCCGCATAACATGTGCTAATCTTTTAGATACTGTATTCTTAAGACTCTTGGTTGTTTTAACGGCATGTGGATTTCCTTGCCACACCAAGAAGCAAAGAGATACTGCCGTATACACTTTGCTCCAATGTAGATGACAGCTGGCGTTTACAGGGGCCAGTTCAGCCAAGATCTATCAGGGCTCTCAAATTCCTTCTGGCGGTTCAAATCCACTTCTGGATAAGTAAAAATGTGGGGAGTCAGGTGATCCAGAATGGCAAGAAGGTCAGAAGCAGAGAGCAACAGACAGTTCAAAGTATGTATGACCCAAAGCCAAGAATGGTCGCCCTGGGCAGAAAGGCAGCCAAAGCATTTTGGCACAGGAGGCAAAAAATAATAAATAATCCCAAAGCACTTCTCCTCCTCCCCAGGCGTAACAAGAAGCAAAAACCCACTAAAAAGTAACAAGATGGTAAAAAGAAGCATCCATGTTCTGCCCTTCCACATTACCTCTGGTGTTTGAGGGGGCCCCCCCAACACTGTTGGATGATAAAGGAAGAGAAAGTGATGTTCTCCTTAGGGAGAATGGGTGAAACTTCGGAGAGGTTCTGGAAATCATGAATGAGGTAGCAATCACAGTTCTAGAAAGGAGCATCTCTTTTGTGATGCTGGCATTTGAGGTCATCGGTTGGGTCTCAAGAGACCTGTGGACAGAGCGCTCTACCCACAGAAAAGCTGAGATATGCCTTTTCCAAACTTCCCTTTTGGTCCACCTAATTATCACATCAGAGGCACAAAATTAGGCCAGGGCAAGGGTAAGTCCCCGTATCATTTTTAACATGCCAGGATAATGGCATGTTAAAAACTTCAGCTGGCCTTGGCCCTCTCAAAAAAACTCATGTGGTTCCTACAGGTTTGATTGATACAACTGTTCCTTCTACTCACTATCTGAAGCTCACGGTAAATGACTTAGATATCCTATGTGAGGATGAATCCCAGTAGAAGCAAAGAGATGCCCAGCCATATTTATTTATTTGTATAAATGAATATACTGCCCCCCCCAATTAGTGCAATGCATTATTCTGGATAGTTAACAGCATAATAAAATAAAAATGGACCATGTCAAAAGCAGGGATGAAATCATAATATGCTATAAGCAGGTCATCGAGACCTATTCATACAATTGCGGAAGAAAAGGTCTCTATTTGATTCAGGGTACCATTTCAGAACTTGAGAAAGCAAGCTGGGAGCCAGGTCAAGCCAGCTCTGAAATTCAACCTTAAACTGCTTAGTAATTCAAGATTGCCTATCCCACAGCAGAGGTCAGATTCCAAGCAGGTGGGAGCTCCATCTACTGTAAGGGAACTACTACAGAGTCCAAAAGGGCAAAAAGTGTGGTTTACCTTTAACTGTAAAATGATTATCACTTGCTCACTGGTCAACCCCCCCCCATCTTACCCCTACTTGCAGTGAGTGTCTTTGGCGATCCAGAGGAGATGGCCTGAATTTGACCCATGGGACTGCTAGTTTCCGATCCCCCTTGCTCACACTTTTGCTGCTGCAAAAAATTGTATGCAAGGTTCAGCAGACTTCCTCCCAGCCGGGCAGGTTCCCTGGCACCAATCATCTATCTACTCTTCTATCTGCATTGGTGCCCTAACATCTTCTCAGCAGAGCTGAAGGGCTTTTCGTGTATAAAAACCCAAGCCCTGCATACCTTGGCTGGCAGCTCCCCTCAGCCGCTCCTTCAGTTCTGAAAGCACACGGCAAAAGAGAAGAACGGTCACTCTTCAACATTAAGAACACAAGTGGGGGTCCTTGGGCTCCAGCTATTCCAAAATGGAAGCTATGCAAGGATTTCTCCATGCTCATGGGAGATTTCCCCTCTCATACCCGTAGAAGAACAAAACAAGAATAAAAGTGCTGAATAGTGAAAAAAGAGGACTTGGAGAGATCAGGAAGGGGGGAGAGGAACAGTACTCTATATATAATCTCTTTTCTCTTAATATGATCTGGTATAATCCACAATATTTACTAAAAGTACCTGGTACTTAACGTGATCTGGTATAATCCACAAGAGGGAGATGATACATCTCTCCCTGTTCCCACCTGCAGAATATTTACTAAAAGTACCTGGGAATACTGCTCTATGCTGGCAATCAGACCTCCAGCTCTGGTGTTCACAAAGCACCAACCAATACAACTAAATTCTGAAAGCACACGGCTGTCCAAGTTTGCCCAGGCCTCTTAAGTGGCCAAGTTCAGGGCTCCAGACGGCTCTCTTTGGGGCTTGCAGGAAAAGACGATCATGTTTTCTTTCTTCTGAAACCTTTTCTGGTTGAGCTATCAATGGCTAAAAGCACTCTGGCTTAGACTGCCTGCCAACCTGCCTTGCCTCAATTTCCTTGTCCAAAAACTTCCCGTTTCCCACTATCTGATACTTCTTGCTCTTCCACAGGTATATATGCGCCCCTGACATCAGGTTTGCCCCCCCCGACATACTTACAAACATTGGCACACAAACACAAAATAATACTCTTACGATCCACCTTTATTTGTAAAAGTCCAGATATAAAATCTTGTTACTTTTTCTTTTTTTAAAAAAACGAAACAAACAGAAAGGCACATTAAAAACTACCCCTCTTCCTTCCATCCCGACATCCTGGACTATGTCTGAGACCACATGGCTCTCCCTCTCCACTGCGTTTCTCGCCTTATCCTCGGGTTCCCATCTGGCGTTCCAAAAGCTCAGGCAGCGGAAGAGGTTCAAGAGGGCACCCAAAGCTGGTCCAGCAGGATTTTAGTAGTAGGTCTCCTTCTCCACCCAGCCTGTATGGAGAGGAAGAAGGCAACATATCTCAATGCCGATGCAAGCTGTTGAGAGCAGGTGCAAACTCTTTTGAGCTGGAGTGGGTAGAGAGCAGTCCACGTGCCACAGACCATCTCCCAAAGCCACCCAACCCATTTCAGAGGCTCCAAAATCCCAAGCTCTCTAGGAGTGGTAGGTTCGATGTAAAACAGGCTATGCACACAAGCCTCCCAATGTAACCCACCTCCAAGTTAAAGTGCACTGATTGGTGGCCTTCTCACGAAACCCCATCCCTATCTTTGCCTGGGTCTGTGACTGCTTCAGGATGGGTTTCTCTGGAAAGCCTCATGCCTTCCAACAGGGAAACCCAAAGGGCTATGACTTGGAGCAGGGTCATGTGAAGCCATCCATGCTGGGGAGGTTTGTCGGCTTCTAAGTGCTCACAGACACACAGGAGAATTTTACTTCTGGACGCAGGCACCTGGCAATGGCCCAAAGGCCAGCAGGTAGGGTAGTCATTCACGTAACCACGCTGATAAGAAAGTGGAAAGGAATGTGGTGGACGGGGGGGGGGCGACTGAAAAAGAGACCCTAGCATGGTTCTGCTCCAGCCACTCGAAGCTCGTAACAAGAAAAATGCAACCATTCATGGCAAGATGGGTGATGGTGGTGGTGGTGGAATTCTAAAACACAGATCCTTAACTAGCAATGAGTTTGTCCTGCAGCTACATGAAATGGCTACCTAAACAGCTTCAAGGGAATGTCTCACTCAGTGCCCTTGGCCTGAGCCCTCCCTTACACTTCAGGATTTGCTGTGCCCAGGAGACATTTCTGTCCTCTAGAGAAGACGAGGTAAAGGGGCAGGTAAGGCTCAGGTCTGTGGGCACTGCAAGGAATTATGGGTGTGGTAGCCCATGTCCAATTAGGCTCTGCACATCAAGTCTCCCTCTCTCTCTCTCTCCCAGATAAATCAATAAATAAAATTACAAGACTCATAATCCCTGGTAGCTCCAAGAGTTTAGCCCTGCCCACCCATTCCCCCCCCCTCTGGTCTTCTCCAGAGGACAACAATGGCTGCCAGAGTCTGAATTCATTAGCTATAAGACCATGAAAACACCGGTGAGGACAAGAGACAAGCACGTTCAGGGGGGGGTGTGGCAATTCCCAGCTCCGCCTTCTCTGGCAGGCACCCATTTAGAGTCAGTGCTCCAGTTTTCCTGCCCCGCCTCCTCTGGGCACTGCCTCTGAGTGGTTGCTCGCTGGAGGAGGAGGGGCCAGGAATGGCCAAACACCTGTTTGTTGGAATGATGAACAGGCAGTTCCTGCCCATCTCCGGGATTGCTAGATTGAAGTCCCTAGAACATCAGCTGGCAGGATCCCTGCAGACTTCTTGGGGAGGGGCACACTTCACGAATTCTGAAAATACTATTCCTTGTCATCCCTCTTCTCCTTTGATGCCAGCTGAGTCTTCCTAGATACATAATCTATTACATTCAATTTCCCTTTCTTTGTAGATCTCCCTTGAATTATGACACATCTGCTTTAAAAGGTCATTTCACAGATGCCAGATTAAACATAAAGGATCCGGGGAAGGGCAGGAGTTGCTATATCCTGCAGGCAATCAAAAGCTGTTTGCTGTGCCCCAATAGTTGACCCCAAACTGCATACATAACCAATTTGATTTGTTTTCACACACTTGTGTGAAGGCAGCCTAGATCCCTGGCATAAACACCTGCTCAGCACAAAGCTGACAGTGGACATAAGACAACTTCCTCAAGATTTTTCTGGCTTTGTTCTTTTACTTCAGGTTGAGTCCAAGGTGGGCTGGGGGGGGGATCCTGAAACTTGCCAGCTATGCTGAATGACATCTGTAATCTGATCAAATCTTGCATAGTAGCATGGCTGGGTAGACCACCCCAACACATCACATAACTTAAGAATGCCACGGCACCACAATTTTCTTACCTCCAGGGCTGCGTCTAAGGATAAGTTTCCTTACTTCATCATACACAAAGATGAGGAGAGAGTAGGGGAAGGCACAGAACCACCACGTTGGTCTGCAAAGTAAGAAATCTGGTTGTAGTAAACTGTTGCCCGACTGAACGGGATTAGCAAGGGCCCAGCGTCTCCCAAGAACAAGCGCCAAGATACAATTTTGGATATGCCCAAATCCTTTGACTCACTCAAAGAATTAAGAGGGATACGGATTAGAGCATAGCTGTTGGAGGGATTAATTAGTCTCTGGCTAATTAACACCTTCGAGACTGGCACAGAGACAAGCAAATTTACTGCTTACTTGAGAGGATACATTCTTAAAGCAACATCCATTCCAGGGCAGTAAGAGAGGAAGGCAGCCAGAGCAGTCTCTTCAAAGAGCCCAAATATTAAAATCTTGTTCCTGTGGAAAAATATAAGAAACGTCAGCCCCAAGAAGAGAAAAAAACTTCCTTTTCACCCCTGATTTCTGAATGGA